CCTCTCAATCTTAGAATATGTGCAAAAGGAATGACTAAATTACTCCTCGTCCTCGAAGTCGGTGGCCTCGATAGCCATGGCGCGCTTCATCATGCGCTTGAACTGGCGGTCAGACTCAGCAACAGCGCGAGCGAGGTTGCGGCGAGCGGCAGCGGGGGTGTTGCCGGGCTGGGCCATCTGGACGGGGACGACACCACCGAAGGGGCCGGCGCGCGCGGCGTTCTGGCAACGGACCAAGCAGACGTTGTTCTGGCCGGCGACGGTACCAGTGCAAGTCTGGCCAGCGGGGATCTCGGCCTTGATGGGGAAGTCGGTCATGGCACCAGCCTATGATTGTTAGTCTCGAGTGTTTGCTGTGCGAGGATGAAGTGACTTACGCGGTTGCGGGAGTTCTGGCCGGGAACGGTGACGGGGACGTTGATGTTGGTCCAGGTGGCGCCAGTGGCATCACCGTTGATCATGCAGTCGTAGGGGCCACCGCCGTCACCGTTGACCTGGTGGACGGTCATGTCGATGGTGCCACCGGCACGGATCTGAGGAAGCTGGTCACCAGTGGCGGCCATGATGGCCTTGGTGCCAGTCTCCAGGTCGTTGGTGCCAGCACCGACGGTCTCGCCGAAGGTGTCGGCGGCCTCGCCCTTGAAGCGGGTGGAATCGGCCTGGAAGGGGTCGCGACGGGTTCCGTCACGAGGAGTGCTGAGATCAACACCGAGGGCCATGCCAGTGCCACCGAGCTCGCCGGTAGCGCCGATGATGGCACCGTGGCCAGCCACCAAGTTGGCGGCGGCAAGGATAGCAGTAGCAGCGACGGTCTTGAGAGACATTTTGACTAATAGTTAAGAGATGAATGAGATGGTGCTCCTTGCCAGAGGAGTGTAAACGAGTAGTATCCTGCCGGAGGAGGTATTAGAACCGAAAGAGAGAAGAGACTGCTGAAAAGCTGAAGATGTTGATGCTGATGATGAGAAGAGATGAGAAAAGGTTGGGAGGAAATCAGTTGCTTTTGTACTCGACGATTCACGATGTTGAGTCGATACTCTACAGTAGGCCCCCCAGCACATGAAGGCAAACTTAGCAGAATATCTCCTACATCGCCTGCACGCTCCACATACCGTCTGGTGCCTTGCAACCCTTGGAACCGACACCAGCCCCAACATCAAGCATATTGTTTAGACTGTAGAGTGGGAGAAAAGATGAGGCCAAACACCGGCGAGAACGACCGCATCTCGTGATGGAGACAAGTTCGAAACTGGGCCCTTTCCGATTCGGATCGTCGAAGGGAGGCTCTGTGTGGGAGCCGACAAGGGTTCGAACCTTGTTGAAGAGCCAATCGCATCGCGATCGCGTTGTCCTTCCCCCTCCTCGAAAGGGCAGGGAGGGGAAGAAACACTGTCGCAGATCAGAAAACGTTTGTCGCACATCCCTGGTGTGCCTGGGAGGGAAGATGATGTTCCAGGATCTGCGCCACGCCCGTATTATCCCAGGGCACGGGAGAGAATAGCCCAGATCAAACACACCAGACCTGCCTCTGCCTCCCCCCCTTTGGTTGGTTTGGTTTGGTTGGTACCGCACATTGGCGAGACACGAGAGGCCGTGCGGAGAGTCTGTGGAAAGGCGACTCGACAGAGGTGATGCTTGCCCTGCGGCGCGACTTGCAGTCTCGAACCTGCGCTCGGCCACTGGGAACGTTCGTCCATAGTGGAAGCGTAATCGTGAGCGACTGGGAACCAAAGAATGGAGAGAGACGCAGAGATCTCTGACGGCTATCATCTCAATCTTCTGGAACAAATGCCCCTAAAGCCCACCCCGTTGCAACTTGATGTGTGAACTTGGACAGCGGACGATAGTGGATACGCAAACGATGAGAAGTTGAGATGTCATGTTGGGCTTAGCCATGCCCGTAGTGTCGTGCCTGACACCGGTGCTCAATGCCACCCTCTGCATATTGGTGTTTTACGGATGGAATACCGAAATGGGACAGGACGGGTAGAAAAATCACCAACGGGCTGAGAGAGGCGAAGTCCCTGCAGGACGCAGCGATGCTATGCATCAATCCTCAGCTACGTAGTAGGCACCGCGGGAGCTAGCGCTTAGTGCCAGGTACGCCAGGGCAAGCTTCACCTCTCCCGTTTGCTTGTCTCTGCTCTTTGGCGCGCTGCCCAGTCCCATTGGTCTTTTTAGATTTAGACTTGACTCGGCTGCCCAAAGTATCCACACAAAGTAGCATTCGCACCACTCCGAATAGGTTGAAGTGGTGGGAAGGGGAAACAAGGAGGTGGCCCGCCAGGAGCACAGAGTACGGAGATACGGAGGCATGAAGGCCTCCAGCCCGGGAGGAGGCTGGGGGATTTGATCGCCGTTGACATGGCAAAGGAGGCAGGAGGGGCGCATCGTTTCGCTGATCATTGTGAATCATTACTGCCAGCTGGGCACGATCCCTAGGAGAACATCGCATGAGCCGCCGGTGGTTTCCAGGACTGTCGTTGCACCGCCAGGCGTTTCTCGTTTCTGTGGATCACCCATCAACCCCGGGGGAAATCAGTTCCAGGGCCAGGCGAGGTGAATGTGGTCCTGTCCACATGAACACTTTGAAAGATCTGGGGGTGGCCAGGGGCAATAGGTGCGCTTCATTATGGGGGAGACCTGGGTAGGGAGTATCGGTTGCCTTTTGCTCCGATGCAAGCATGGCAGTTCTAGACGTCCTGACAGGGAACTGAGGGGCAAGTTGATACAGGGGGGCCGTTGCGCTTGGATCTGGCAGACACTGCAGACACGACCATCACCAGCACCACACACTGCAGCACACACGCAGCTAGGACTCGAGAGCCTCAGCCAATCCATGGAGACCCATGGAGAAGGGGGCGCGGCTGGCTGAGTCGCCAGCTGTGATTCGTGTTGTCCGTGCTTCACCGCAGCATACCTGGAACAGGAACTGGTCCACCCCGCTCGAATAGAAGCGCGGAGAAAAAATAAGCTTGGCAAAAAGAGTTGTGTCAGAAACACGATGGCGAAATCGGGTCTCTACACTACTGGGACTGGGGGCTTGCCTCCCAGGATATGATCGCATTGGGGAGCATGGGACACACAGAAGACGCCCGTTTGCTATTCTGGTTTGTGGGCAAGAGTCGCCTCTATGCCATGAGGCGCACATTCTACTGCGTAGGTCCCACGGTCCGATCCCAGTCATACATACTTGGATGAGCACTCGGGAGGTCCGGCTGATGCAGAAACCGAGAATGTCATGTCAAGATGTGATAGGTAGAACATCGACACACTTTCAGGCAGCCTCACGGGCACTTGAGCCTTCCAAGACTTTTTCTCAGTTCCGTTTAGTCGTGTACTGTAAAGCTTGTCAAGACGGAGCTTTTTTGCCGCCTTGAGTAGCACTGGCATTTGCTCAGGCCTCTTCTTGAACTCTTGGATTCTTCGCCTCTCCCGGCTCGGAGCCGAGAACCGGCTGGGCGGACCCACTCTCTCGGCCGATTCCGTCTTCCGTGGTGGATCTCCTGTCCCGTTGGGCCCCCCCGCTAGCTAAGCCTTCGCCTCACGCAATGATTTCCCTCTTTCATAGAACCACAATGATTTGCATTCCCGCGCCCGCGATGCTTGCGTAGATCAATCATCATCTGGCAAACCAATCGCAATACAGCGCATAGTGTAAAAGGGGGGAAATTCCTCAGCCACAGTGAGGCCTGGTGCGAGTCGCCAGGCCCGCTGTGCGCACGAGACCTGACGCGCCCCTGACGCCGCACGCGAGTTTGATCTTCGCTGCCAAGCTGCCAAGACACCTCAAAACCCGCCCTACCCCGAGCCTTGACTACTCAGGTGCCAGGCGGTATGGGAATGTTGTGTCCCTGTGGGATGGCAAGAAGATGCGTAAAGATGCAAGGCTACTACGTAAGGTACGGTCAGGACTACGCGAGGTTGCATTACATGCCAAGAACATACTTTACGTAGGGCAGAGAGGCAGAGCAGGGGGCTAGTCATGACCACTACACAGCACGGAAGAAAACCTGTGAGGGCAACTCTCTCCGATCCTCTCGGATGGTTCCAGCTGTGAAAGCTTGTGTTTGGCGAAGTCATCACCCAAAGTCGTTAGTCGAGAGTTTATGCATCGCGCAAGGGACGAATCGTACTCATCGTATATCCCTCGTCATGAGTGGTTTAGCATTCTCTACAAGTGGCGGAAATGCAGGTCCACGGTTTCTATTTTGTGAGGCACGTTTCTGACATTTGGAAATTGGGATTCTTCAGCCTGTAGTCTTTGATGTGCTCCTGAGTCAAACCTTTTCGGGAATAGACTCTCATCGATTACCTTCATCCTAATATCTGATGCTCGGTATGAGACGCCCTACTCCATCGACCGAAGTTTTTTCAGAGGCAGGCACCAATCCTTTGACTGCGCCCATCTCAACTACGCTCGTGTGGCCAGTAGTTCGCTCACCACCGCTGAGATCTCGCCGTCTATACTTGTCGCCAGCCCATCTGCCTCCAAATCCCATGGGACGGCCGTCTCAGGCCCCTTGCCCACCCTCACAAGCTTCACCTTTCCCCCGCCTCTCATGACGAGATCCTCGTTGGGCCATCTCAAGACCCCCGGCGTCGACATCCCTACGCCAAGCTCTAGGATCACTGTCATCCTTTCCTCACGATGCACCACCTCCCGGCGGAACTGCTTCCATCTCTTCTCCCCGTCTTCGAAGGGTTTCTCGTTGAACCAGTGCCCTGCCCTCACGCAGATATTCATTTTGCCGTTGCAGAACTTGCAAAGGGGCACCTTGCTTGGTTCCGTCAATATTTGAGATACTGGGTCTAAGAACGCCTGCGCATCTGCAACTAAAGATGCCGATGGCATTGTCGCCTCCGGTCGGCAATTTCCCAGGCACTGGAAAACCGAATACGATCCTTGAGGAGTCGAAAGTCTCTCTGGAGATAAACCGTTGGAAACAAACAGGCCATCAGCGTTGGATGTCCTTACATGCGCGTTTTCTCCAAATTTCTCAAGCCATGAAATGAGCGTTCGATAGATTCTGGATTCTGGCCAAGACTTGACCATCGCCAAGTGGGTGAAGTAGTATCCCCAGCGAACCTGCTCCGTTGGCCAGGAGTTGAAGCCAAAAACGCTGTACAGAGTTCGCAGCCCATACTTCAAGAAACCGGGAAAGTTCTTGGCAAACAGGGCCGACGAAGTGTAATCCAGCCCGTCGGAAGCAGAGAGACCGGCACCGGCGCTCACAATGACTGCGTCAGCCGCGTCCAGCCACTGCCTGGCCCGGTCCAGCGAGTCACACTGGATCAGCGGCGGATGATTCGCACTTGCCGGCGGAGTGAAAGTCGGCGTTGCCCGCCCCATCCATGTAGGAATATGCGGGGGAGAGGCCAGGATCTCCTGGTAGACGGCATGATCTGCGTCCGTGAAGGTGTTGAAGATGATATCGGTGATGGACGTATCCTCGTGGTGCTCGAGCCAATCTGCGACCGCGCTGACCGCGACGGCTGCTGCATCTCGCGCCGGATAGGCAAACAAGCCGGTCGAGATGCCGCATAACGCGACAATTTTCCTGCCATCCGGCGTCGCGGGCAGCGGTTCGACTGCATCAAGAACGCTGCGATAGCATTGGGCGAGATGAAGAGTCTCGTTTGTCGTTGGTTTTGAGCCGCGTTGCAGTTGCGGCCCGACTGTATGTACCACATGGTTCGCTGGTAGGCAATACGCGTCTGTGACTATCGCTTCGCCCGGTCCGAGTTCACGGCCTCTTTGGTTCATGACCAGGTAGCACTCGTCCCGCAGCCGGGGGCCAGCAGCAGAGTGAATGACATTGTCTATGCAGCGGTGTGGTGGCTGGAAGCAGCCGAGTCCCTGGCTGTTTGCGGCATTGGTGATTGCAGTGATGCCGGTGAGAGTCGTGATGTCACCTTGCCAGAGCGCAACTCTAACGCTCTTATGGTTCGCACTTTTGAGTGTGATTGTCGGTTGAATAGAACCCGCCAATGTCAGGACACGATGGGATGCTTGTTGCTGTAAGACTGAGTCTATCCCGACGAGAATGTCTTCCGGGAGCGGCGGGTCCGGTGTGCGGACACAGAGAAGTTGGTGAAGTAATTGGAGATGTGTAGGGGGCTCCAAATCGTCCAGTTGGTCCTTGATATGACGGAGGTGGTGGTGGTGATGGCCGTGATCGCAGTCGCCATGATCTGAGTCAGCGCCTGAGTCCGCTTCGTCCAGTAGATGAACGAGAATTTGCTGTACACTGTCCATGCTTTGGTGTTGTTGTGAGAATTCTTCGTTTGCTTGCAGCGCTTTTTTGACGCCACTTCGACCTCACCCAGACAAGGAAGCACTACTCTCTTGTACAATTTCTTTTTAGTATGCATGGCGATTTCGATTTCAAACATGGCAAAAACGCGTTTGTGAGACTATCCAATTTGGTTCCGATTTTATCTTGCTTTGCTGAGCTGCCGGAACTAATTTGCATCCGGCCCCAAGGCATCAAATGGAACCTCTTGTCGCCTATCCGACTATGGAATAATATACCGATCGAATTCGCAGCCATGCTGACCATAGCATCGAGCGCCCAGAACAGGAAGAAAAAGCGTACGCTGAAATTAAACCATGATCTGTCATCCATGCTCTGTCAAAAACGCCAGTCGTTGCAAGCCTATCCAACGATCTGGTTCTAGCAATTCCACTTAGAAACCTGCATGTGAAGTTGTTCTTCCCCATTATCGACAATTCTCACCGCGGACGATAACGCTCCACTTCATTTTGTCAAATGCTTGTCCTGAGGATCGTACTACATTAGGCGACTCCCTCTTCGCGCACGATTCCAAGACCTTCTCAGCACCTTGAGCAATGCCGTCGAATGTTCTCATGGTCTTTGGCTTGTCGTCCTGTAAACCTTCGACTTAGCTTTGTGCGTAAAAGGTTTTTAATCTTAGACTCACGTCATTACACCACCAGATGGCAGTCCTGAAAACGCAACTCATAAGAGCGCACTTCCCTCGGCCAACCTCGAGTCTAGCCCTCTTGTGCCGGATGCGTTTGAGTTCATCGATGCCCTCTTTTACAACGGCGACTGAGCCTAAGGGGAACTTATGGCAGATGACATGAGAGCTATCGAATTTATTCGGCTCCTCTAAGGCCGAAGAGGGGGTAGTAGAACCCGATTCCGGGCCCAAGACCTGCAGAGACTTGTAGGAGCGAAGATCCGCCAGCACCTCCTGAACTGTTCCGTCCAAAACAATTTTCTCGGCTCTCGGGCTGATATCATCTAGAAACTCCCATTCTGGAATGACAAGCTCATATCCTTCAATGGGAGACCTGTCGGTAATTGCTGATCCATAAGCCTACTGTGATATTAGTAGCAAATCATGAAGGAAGGGGTTATATCGTCTTGGCATACCGAAGCGGCCAAAGAAGCAATGATGAAAGGTTGGATTTGATGGAAGCGCATTTTGATGGAATCAAGGAGTTGAGTGACGAATGCAATTATCTGAAGTTGAGTCTGAAGGCTCTCAGTGTATGAATCGTTGTAGATGATGAGCCTGAAATAAGCGGGATCAAGATAAAGTGATCCATTGGACAACCTTGAGGTCTCAACAGATATGAATGACCGCTTTTATCTGTGGAGCTGAACTTTAACATGAACATGCGGTTGAAAATACCGAACAGACATCTTCGCATCCTTCATTGACGCTACCTTAGTGGCTGCTGGGGGCCTTAGAGGTGCCGTCTTCTCGACTGTGGGCCTATCGGCAGGAAAAGTTTCAAAGACACCTTACACGCTTCAACTAGTACTTTCCTATCTTCGCCCAAACAGGTTCATACGCTTGAACGCTTAGTGAATGTGTACTCTTTTTGTTTTTTCTAATTTTTATTTTCATGATATTAGGGGCGCTACGATAATACTAGTATTCTCATGGACTATTAGAAATGCGCACTTCTCTATCCGCTGCGTAATAGGTATAAAGTGTTCATTACATAGATAATGCCTAAAATATCTCTTTTATATTTTTGAACTCATTTATTTGTACAAAAAACAGCAGCTACAAGCTAATAAAATTATCATCAAATATCATGATATTGTTGCAAAAATGATCAATGCTCCTTTAAGGAACTAAAAAGCGCTGTATATCTTCATTTAAGAATAAAAGTAATCATTCTAGTTGGTTCGTTGTGCAATCTTATTATTAAAGTACTCAACGTTGCGATGTCCGAGACTTCGGAGCCTGGTACACCCTTGCTGCTCCCACAGCTAATGAACATGAAACTATAGGTCATAACAGTAATGCTTCTCTTAAGACCAGCTCATCCAGCAAAGTGCCGCCTTCAAGTCATCCTCTGAGAAGCAGAATGCTAATTCTAAACAGAAACGAGCACAAACCTGAGACTGTGAGACATTATTTGGCCCCACCGCCATCTGAGTGCCAACATGTTAACATCATGGCGGCTTGCCTGCGTCGTCATGGGTCAGTGGGCATTTCACCTCATGCAGCCACAAAGTGATCGGCCACTGCGTGACCGCAGACGCTATTATGAATAGGAGGAGGTTTTGATCAGCAATTAGAGATGCACTGGGACCAAATTTGAGGCACGCACCTGCAATCAGGGCGGAGGCAAGGGGATGCTTCATTGTTCTTATCACCTTGCCTCAGTGATGGCTTTTCAGACTTGCATCCGACTCCCTTCAGAAATAGAAAGGATCCGTGATTGTCCTGACTGTAAAGTAGCTCGGCCCTCCTCTCTCGAGCTGCGCCAGTCATCATTCTATTGTCTGGTCGTAATGCCGCTATCGTTTTTCTGCTTGTGCACTTGGGGTATCCCTTTCGACGAAATCCGAAAAGATTATCTCGCATTTCAATGACATATTAGGCGCCAACCCGACTGTGAGAGAAAAATAAGGACGGGGTTCAGCTACCTAGCTCAACGCCATCGTAAGGTAACATCATGCATCCGAAATCGTTTCTGGCATGGTCATTCCCTCAGCCGCACAAATCATCAAAAGCCTCAGCTGAGTTGAACCCGCATTAGCACTTAATCTAACGAGAGGTCATAGATGCATTAAGTTAGCGATTCCACAAGCGGAATTCCCTGTGCGGCATTCTTCATTCACCTATATGCTAGAACGTACTCATATAGTTACATAATTACAGACGTTCCTGCCCGGAGCTCAGTTCTAGCTTCAGATTATGAATCCAACTTCTCAACATTATCGGACAATTCTCGTTTGCAATATTTAATCGTGAAGGACTGTTAGAATTTTTCGACATGGAGGTAGAGGTCCCTCGTCCGTGAGTTATGTCCCGTATCGCACGCAATGGACGCGTTTCCTTTCTTTTCAATCCCAACTGACAGCAATCAGCACCGCAAATGACTACATCTTCGTATACTTCCAGGAAAACTATACCGAGGTTGTTGCCAAGTACAATCAAGACGGCGGGTGAGAGCCCTGGCTGCAAAGTGGGCTCGTCGACCATATCAAGGCGAATGGTAATGGGACGCAGCGTTATGCCGAGAGAAAAGTGCATATATGGGGCGTCCCCTACACTGCCGATAAGGTAGACATCCTGACGAGCTATCAGTTTGAAGGCCAAAGTCGTATCGAGGCCATCGAGCTCAAATGCGCGTGAACCCGCCAGGACGAAAAGCCAGGAAACTTGGCGCAGCGGATGCAGGCAGACATCCGGAAGTTGCAGAACCGGCAGCGATACGTGAAGAAGTTCGTGAAGGCGGATCAGCAGCTCATGTATGGCGTATCCATCGGGATTACGCTAGACGAATCGTCAACCCAGGCTACTGAGGCGGCTCTGTTGAACTTCCCTGGCGAGAGCCTTATTTCGCGATGGGATTGGGGTCCCAGAGGAGGCAGTGCCATGGGCAAGACAATTACTGTTTGGTCGTAATGGCTCTATCAATGGAGATGAAACTTATCGGTTAAGCCTTAAAGAGAATACCTATCTCAATTTAGATACCTGTCAGGTCCCAGTAGTCAACAAAGCTGGCAGATGACTTGAGAACATTGGTGATACTGAGCATGTGGTGAGACGTTTAGCAATCACGTACACCAGAGAGCTCTCCAATAGAGAATAGACAAACCGTCTTCAATCGCAACATTAACTTGTTTACAATTTATAAGTTTGCTAATATTTTCGATAAATAGAAACAGTGCACCGAAGAAACTCACGAGGCTCAAACTTGCGTTTGCCCGTGCACTCGAAGGTCTCTATTAGTACCAAAGACTCGCAACTCCCCTCCACTGACACCTTAATTCTGCATTAAGGCCTTTACTAGCTAGAAGCTGGATAAAGCAGAAGAGCGGGAGCACAAGACAGCACAAGCCTCAGTGTTGTCAGCTTCTATGGTATCTGTAGTTCGAGTTGCTGCGGTAAGCCAGAAGCAGACTCTAGCGCTACCCTCGCTACCTTCGGCAACGCAGAAACCAGCCGCTTCCGTGCAACTTCCATCCCACAGAAATCGCTCAGCTGGCCAAAATTGCAGTCGATCTAGACTCTGGGCTATGTTGCTTCTGGACGTACTTAGCACAGCTTGCATAGCTTGTCTTGATAGTCACACAGTCTGAGACAGCGGCAGCTCAGCTTTGCAGCGCAGCCACCAGGTTGGACAAACAAATCCATATGACAGCAGGCAAATGTCTGGATTAGGCACAACGGCCGATCAAAATTCCTGTTCATCTCCATGAACGTCCAACAGGATGCTCGCAGATGCTGCCCAAATCTCAGCCAACTACGGACATACGTAGTGTCACATAGGTACATTTCCGCCACTATCACCAATTCACTCTGCCACGCCGCCGAGCCTATACTCCTTTGAATCGCCTGAGGAGACTCAGATGGACATACCTATCTATTCTATTGAGACGAGGATGTATGCCATCAGAACGCCAGGTGGAACCGCCTCGAGATATCATTTTCTTGGTTTCGAGCTGAGAATGCCGCCACATTCGCTGAATGCGCCTTATGCGGTGAAAATGAATGCTCATTTCTGATAGAATTTAAGTAATGTGTTAGGCACATGGCGTTGGTCGCTCGCTCTTTGCATTATAGAAAACAGGTGGCGCGGAGTCCTGTTGTCAGGTAGCATACGGCCACGGGACAGTAGTCCAGACCCTTCTGAAAACGGCATCAATATCTCGTTTACAGTCAAACCATTCACAGTCAAATAGTTCGATTGTTTTGAGACACCTGATTCGTCTGGAACCGAGCGTCCGTGCCCACCACCCACTATCAGTTCTAGACTTT